AGGGAGATGGAAAAATTGGATAGAGTAATCCAAATAAGATATAATGAGGGAGAACCAAGAACAATGGAAGTTAATGAGGAAAAGCAAAAAAAGAGAATTACAAGAAGAAATAAAATGGAAAAAATTGAAACAGAACATTGATGGAATCCAGGAAGAAAATAAAAATATAAAAGAATAAATGAAAGAAGCAGAGAAAGAAACAAGCGCAAAATTAAAGGTAATGGTAGGAACAATGGATAAGAACAATGAAGAAAACCGTAAGGAATAGTTTGCAACAGAAAAAGGCAGCTTAAAGCAAGAATTGAACGAAATGATATTAGAGGAGCTGGAGATAGAAAAGCGTGTTGGGAAGCAAACAGAAGAACAGATGAAAAGAATAAGGAGAATGGAAATGGAGTTAGAAAAGAAAAGAGGAGAAGAAAAGAAGCAAAATATTTCGAATAGAGTTAGAAGAAAACGAGTAAAAGTGGGATTTGGAAAGAGTAATAAAAGATGTGATTGATGGTGAAAGCGGTAAAGGTAACAGAGGTATAGAAACTTAAAAAAAAAATATGGGACGAAGATCGAGAAGTGGGCTGATAAGATTCAGATAATTACAAATGGTAGAAGACTGAAAGGGGCAAAGGTATAAGAGACGACATGACAATGAAAGCGAGAAGAATACAAAAGATGTTAGAGCGAAAAGTAAAAGAGGAAAAAAAAAACGGAGAGAAGGTGTTCACAGTAGAATATAAGAAAATAGTAATAGATGGAGTAGTGTGGGTTTAGGAAGAAGAAGAACTGGTTAAAAAAAGGAAAATGAACATTTCCTAAGGAATAGGAAGGAAGGTAGGGGGAATGATGGGAGAAAGGATAGATAGAATAAGCTGTTGTATATAACAAGATTGTAATGCTCTATTCACCGCAGATACATATGGGAACGTCGGTACAACCTGGATCGTCTATGTTATCGTCTACCCTCTCGCTTCTGAGATCTGTGTTAATCCCTGGTGACGAAAGAGACAGCCGGGTTTGAACTTTAATAAACGTTAAGCAAAAAAAAAAAAGCACAAATAGGTATATAGTTTTTACAAATAATGTTAAACTTCTGTATGAGTACTGATGCTATGCATATCTGTTAAAACAGTATTTTTATTTTTATTTTCAAATCGAACCGCCCTCTAGTAATTTATCTCTATTGTTGTTGCCACCAGTAAAAGTTGTTGTTTACTTTGTATTACTAATTCCAGTCAAATCGTTCTTTTGTGTTGTGTTTAACATACCTTGCTAAATTGTGTGCCCGAGTTTCTTGGACTACGATCCTAGTCTTTTTAATAGTTTATGGGCCCAGATCGCGCGATAAGTAAAAGAAACTGAACCAAGACAAATCGATTAGTAGCTGGTACGCGAAAGTGTGTTTTTTTTGCTTTCCGAACGTTCGACAAAGCAGCCAACCCAAGATGGCTACGTCTGCCATGATGCGCATCGAAATGTTGGTAAAGGACAATTTTGATATGTGGAAAATCCACATGAAGGCTTTGCTTATAAAAAATGATGCTTGAAGCTACGTGAGTGGCACCAAAGTAAAACCCGAGCCAGGTGAGAACAATGCCGACGAAGTGAACGACTGGGATTGGGAAGATAGCCATGTCGGACATACTCCTAGGGATCTCGTCTACGGAGCTAAAACAGGTCAAAACATGTGCGACGTCAAGACATTCCTAGTGGAAGTTGAGACTGTGTATCAATCAAAGGGCCCTGTGCGAAAAGCTAACTTGCTAAAGCAAATCGTTCTGCAACGAGTGAGCGAGAGCGATGACGTGCGTCATCATCTACGTAAATTCTTTGACGCTGTTGACCGACTGAGCGATATGGAAGTGCCAAGAAATGATGACTTAGTGTCGATATTGTTGCTCTACAGTTTACCAGCCAACTTCAATAGTTTTCGGATCGCTATTGAGTCACGCGACGACCTTCCTAACCCCGAAACTCTGTGAATCAAAATCGTGGAGGAAAGTGACTCGCTAAACAACAACAGATCAACTCAAAAGTCTAAACGACAGAATTCGGGTAAATCGCATAAACGTAACGACAGAAACGTGTTCAGGTGCTTAAGTGCAACAAGCCAGGTCACAAGCATCTAACTGCAGGTCGAAAGCAAACAACGACTACAAAAGGACGGTGCACATCTCTGTACGATGCTCCGGAATCAGGTTCGTGTCGTGACGCGAGTTCCTTACTGGTTTATCCTTCGCAAAAATAGTGGTGCCTAAATAGTGGTTGTACCGCACATATGACCAATGACATTGACAGTTTTGAGTGCATTGCAGATCGGGTCACCCGAGTGGCGTAGTACCGCACTCGCTAGTCGTGATCATAAGAAATCCCTGATGGACTGGCACAAGGCGCTGGGTCACTTAAATGCGAAAGATATTCGGGAGACATCCAAAAGCAACGTTCCGCGAAGGCTGGACATAAACGACGTTAATTCGAAACTCAAATGCGAGGTTTGCATTAAAGCCAAGATGTCACGTCAGCCTTTCTCAAAGACGTCCGAGAGCAAGTCAGCCCCAGGTGAACTTATTCACACGAATGTGTGCGGATAGATTAGGGTTATGTACAACGGTCGCGTCATGTACTTTGTCATCTTCATCGACGATGCTACCGATGGTGCAAGGTACGTTTCCTACGACACAAAAATGAGGTGTTTTTCGAGTTCAGGGCTTTCAAGACGATGATCGAAACCCAGTTCAACAAGAAGATCAAATTGCTGCAATCCGACAACGGGACGCAATACGTGAACAACCAGTTCGATGATTTCTTGAAGAGCTCTGGTCGAAATGACTCGATGTCACTTAATACAGTCCGGTCTCCCATCTTCTTTCTGGGCGGAGGCTATATCTTTCGCGAACTTCATCAGTAACCATTGTCCAATCTCAGCATAGGACGGTCGAAACCCCTTCGAGATGTGAATGGCAGAGACACCGGATATGATCTTCAGGAATTTAGTTCACCAGTTTACTGCTTGAACCGAACCAAAAGTGGAGGCAAATTCGAGCTTCATGTTCGTAAAGGAGTATTCCTTGGTCCTGCTTTGGAGTCAAAGGCCTTCAGTCAAAGACGAACTCTTATAATTTCGGTTTATTCATTCGTCTGTTTCTACATCTCTTCATCGCATTATGCTCATGTGTATAGTTAATATGAAATAAAAGCCTATGTATGTTATCCATCGTGTTATTACAAGAGAAAAAAAGTAATACCAAATAAGGAATAATTCTCCTTGATGAAAATTCGTTTTGAAATCTAAACAAAATCATCGTTTATTAAACTGATCAATTGGAACACATGTCGACACAACGGCAGGTTAGTGCTACGTTTGCCACATGACGTTAATTAGTCTTTTTTTTTTTTTTAATTTTTAACACTACAGATAACCTCAAATTAATGAGGAAAAGTTGTTGCTGCCGTCATCGCCGGAAATCACCGAGTCCCTGGGTTTACGCACCATTGCTCTACCACTAAGCAACGAGAGGTGACAATTTTTCCTCATTAATTTGAAGTTATCTGTAGAAGTAAAAACTAATTCAAAAATCAATTCACTTTAATGTTTTGGAAATCCTACAAAAATTCTTCTAAAATAAAAAAAGGTTGTTCTATCATAAAATTATATATAGTTTGAATGGACAGTCTATCAATATGTCGCTGCAGTCTAATAACCGTTAAATTTACCATATCAAGTTGTCCCTCGTGTATTTCCAGAGGAACTGTCATCATTTACTTGATTTGTTTTCGTTTAGACCTAGTGCGCACTGTGATTTTTCGTCAAGAAAATGTAACACTCTAGTAAATGCAAGTGCCCGCATATACGACTAAGTAATCGCAGTGATTAAAAAGTCGCAACCGATCGTATTTTTATTGTGACGCGATTGTACAATAAAACATACGGACAACAGTGAACCCGCGTGCATTTGCGACCAAACTATCGCAACCTACTGACGATCGTTCTTTGTTCTTTTCATAGTTAATGAATGCACTGTGGTTATCAAACATGTCGGATTACGAATATATTGGGTTATAAAGAAGAAGAAACAACACACAGCGTTTTGGCTACGGAAGAGATTATATTCGAAACTGAAAAAGAATGTTACCCTTCTACTAATTTCTGATTAGGTAGGGTAGACCTAATATTGTTTCTTCCGTTGCTTTTTAGTACAATATAAGTAGCTTTCATTCGCCATTAACATGTCACCATACGTGCTGTTTCTGTGATGCTCATCTTGCACCTGACTGAAAACTGCGATTGTTTGATGGCAAGTGCGCGCATCATTTTCACTTTCTGCGACCGCGACATTTTGGGTCGCGGCAACAGAAAATCGCAGTACGTGCTAGGCTTTAAGGACGTAATAGACCCAATGTATCGGCTTTTGTTTTGTAACAACTGTATACACCTATTAAGTTCAGATCGATGATTCCACAATGGAAACAATGTTAATGTTTTTGGAGACATACGATGAGTACCTCACACTATTTTTGCACATACCCCATCAAGTGAGGTTTCATTAGTGAGACCTCTTAAAGTGTAAGCAGAGCCTTTCGGCTTTAAGTCGTCAGTGATGAGTTACTACATTTTAAATTTGTTATCAATGTGCTCTTTTTTCTCCAAACTATTATGTAGTAAAATATCTGTTAAACTTCCTGAATTGAGCCTTTAATTGTTTTTTTTTTTTAATTTACTACAAATTGCAGCAAAAATAATTTTTGAACAACTTAGAAACAACTTTCTCTACAAAAATTTACCATCTATGGCGTTTCCAAACAAGGCTATTAAAATATTTCGAAAAATTTTGGAAATAGACCTTGACATATTTATAACATTGAGATACTTACGTAAGTCGAAGTTGGTAAACGGCAGCTGAACTCCATTTCCTATCCTAGTTGTAGCTTCTAAGTAACCTCTGATAAAGCATTATTGTGGAAATAAATACTCAAAAGTAAAGTCTTTTATTGAAATTTACGTCTTATATCCTTCAGATGGATTTAGTATTTACTTCCTTTTCTAAAAAAACCCACTGGAAGGTTTTACTACATTGACAATTTTCTAAAATAACAGTCTTCCGTTGTATTTTAATATGGAGATCAATCTAAATTAGTTTAACACATTAATGTGTGAGGTAAATAAATAATACATAGTTGACTAGTACATTGAAAATAATAAAAAACAATTAGTGCTTTTGCCTACAACGTTGCAGTAGAAAATTTACAACTTCACTTTACGACAAGAGATCCACTTAAACAGAGAAGATTACACTCGCCTGCTTCATTTATTTTACTTCGATAAGCTTCAGTATGGTCTGCAGTAATCGTATTCATAATTACAGGCCAAATAAGTATTATACATGAATAGAGCAATCCTAACTTAGAAAACCTATGCGTATATTTATTTATTATATGTACACAGAATTAGTCTACAGGAGTCCATTAGAGTAATGATCAAATGAGCCTAGGTATTCCAACGCTGCCTGATAGCAGAATTTATATTGATCCTGAAAAAAAAACATCGTTACAATTCATTATTATTATTGGTAATGTGACAAATATAATAAGTGTGTATTAATTATAATCAAATCATATTGTGAGGCTTCGTTACAGTGACGTAACTACACCATCTGAGGCCTGCCGCAAATTCATCGAATGGGGCCCTCCCATAATTAGAATAGCTTCACGTTCTAGTTTCATCTTTATGATTTACGAAGCATTTCGGACAAATGAATAAAATTTATAAATCATTGTAAAGTTATAGATACATTTTAAAAGTTTTCTCGAGACTGGAATAAATTTCCTAAAAAGTTAGTGATTAGTTAGATTCTAGCGTAGCGCATGAACGTTTTTCAAAAATAGAAAGCGGGGATTCCGCGAACATCATCAGCCCGCGCCACTAAAGTGCCGCGGCAAAAAAATGAACTTAGCACCACGAACACTTTCTACAACTAAGCGATACCTTTTTTTATGGGTGTGTTTAAATATTGATAATTTATTTGTATAATTTGTGTATGTACTTAAGTTAATATTTAACTTAAGTTGATTAGATACAAAATTAATGTTTTTTACCAAATTTTGTAATAAATGTTAGATTACTCCTGTCTTTACATCCACTAGGGCCAGGAGGCTTCAAAGGCCATGGGCCCGTGACATTTTGCGCATTGATTTGTTACATCGGTTTGAAAAGTTTTATTTAATTCTTCTTCCATATATTTTTTTTTTTCAAAAATAATAACCTAATAACATTACTTTAACAACTTCATGTCTTAGGGACATTTCCGTAAAGGTATATTTCCCTATAAGTAATAAAATGTATAGTCACCTTAGGAAAAAGGGGATTTTTATACAATTTTATATAAAATCTTATGTCTTTTTATCCATAAGACAATTTTAAGCAACAAACACAAAAAATTGAAAGAGATAACTAACAAAAACACATTATTCTGTAAGTGGATGTGAAAGATTTAAAAAAATTAGTTTTCTGTTTTTAAGCCAAATAAATTATTTTTAATTTAATAAGTTGAGTTAATAAATACTTAAGTTTGCAATTTAATTTAAATAGTTGTAAATAATTAAAAAAATTAATGGCAAACGAATTCTTTTTACTTAAATAATACTTGAATTTTTGAAATTTTTTGTCAATATAAAAAAACAGAACATTCTTTCAGTAATAAATTTCCAAGAAATTTAGGACATTTTGAGACAAAATATAGTGAATGCAAAAAAATATAGCATATTGTACTAGCATATCGTTCCACTACAAACGTCAACTTAAACGCTACCTATATTTTTTCCGCAACGGAAAAGCACATTTAAATTACGCGGTAAATGTTCACAACCAATCGTATCAATTTAAATCACGCGCTAAATTTAAAGAGCCAACCACATCACGAATAAAAATGAGTCAGTATGGCATCGAAATGAACCAACTGAATTGAAATATTTCAGCGTTAATTTGAATTTTCGTAAGATCTAAAATTAGACCATCCACTTGTTGAACATGACCACGACGTGCTACTAGTTTCAAATGGTTAGAGATGTGACCTTGAGGAAGGCTATGCGAATAGAGAGAATACACACTAAGCGTGAGCAGGACAGATAGCTTGAAGGGGAAGGGTATACCTCTAACTATTTGAAATGAGTTGTAGTCAACTGTCTATACATTACAATTTGCATTCTTCAATGGGATGCATTAGTGCATGAGCCCTGGCGTAAAGCAAGTTTCTAAATATCATGAGTTTAATGTTTGGAATAGATTTAAAATTTTGTAGTAAGACATACTTTTGACACTGTTCGCAAAAATATTGGCAACGACTCATTTAATTCGGAATGATAACCTAGAAAAACGTGCGAATGTTTGAAAGTACCACAAACACAATTACAGATGCTATTAACAATTTAATTAGAAAAAAAAAGGAAGTGGCTAATCGTCCGCCGGCGAAATTACCTGTTCCTGGAACTAAGTCCGAAGATTTAATGTCACTATTGCGTTGAAAGTCTGCCGTTATTTTAATCGTTTACGCAAGCACGTCGGATTAATTCTTTTATTTAGATAAATTCCATCTAAATTCAGAAGTCTGCGTAAGCGCAGCGGACTGGTACCCTGTATTTTATAATTCCACCTCCGATTGATGTCGTATTTGGTAAACGTACAATACGTCGGGTAGTCAATTCCAATGAATTAGAAACCTTAAACGTGTTTCGACACCGATGGTGTCATCCTCATTTATAGAGTGGTTTTAGGTTTCTAAGTGTTTTGTTGAATTTCAGGTTCTAGATATTTATTTAGTTAATTATTCTTTTTATTTTCAGTGTAGGCAATGACGACAACAACAAGTCTCAGAACTGTTGGAATGAAAGCTCAACGAGTAGGTAGTTTTTCATTGGTATTAATTAACTTTCATAGAGATATAATAGTAACGTCAACATTAATGATTTCAATATACGTTTAATTTTTATAACATATATTTATTGTGCAAATCAGGCGTATCAGTATGTGTGAGGTGTCACACGTCCAACGTTAAAAGGGGTACCTGCAAGGAGGAGATGATGTTTCGTCACTCTCTACTAAGTTATTTTCAGTCCAGGTTTGGCCTAGTAGAGAGTGTCAAAGCGTCGCCGAAAAATAAAGAGATATCATTCAAATGACTTTTCAATTCAAACTAATTTATCCCAAAGAAAATGTTCCTACTGTTCGGTTGTCATAACTACAGAACTCCTAAATATACTAATCTAGGTATGTTGGGAAAAAATGTAATTTTTCTTCCAAATGGTTAATACATCAAAATTATGAATTCAAGGACCAATTTATGGAGTTGTAATAAATTACACAGTTGGTATACATTCCATAAGAATGCGAGTGGCACCTTGTTTCTGTTAGCTGTTCATAAAAATAAACTCAAAAGCCAAGCAGTAATATTTATCTACTTCTTTGTTTACTAAAGGAAACTTGAATTATTACAAGGAATGTAGTAAACGCTCTCTGTAGAATATTGCCACACTTCGAAGGATTCAAAAAATGCTTGACAAGGACATTGACTTGTATAAACCTGCATAAGTTTCACTAGCTACCAGCTCCTAACATTCCGCTGCAAATTGAAAAACTGAGGAGTGTTACAATGAAAGTGTAAAAGATACCTACAGGTTTCCATTATAAACTAAGAGTAAAACAGATCCTAGTATTGGGATCCGTCAAATGGGAGGTGCCTATAAACATGGCGCCGATTAGGGAAAATTTATCGTAGTTCCTATAGTGTACCGTGCAATTTTCAAGTTTTTAAATTACGATAAAATGATAAGTATTGACACAATATGTGATTGGGCTGACACAAAGCCTCGGAAAGGAAATTTCGTTGAAGGTGAGCGTGTTTTTAATGCCAATCACATTATAAAATTCGGAAATAACAAATCCGGAAGCTAGCCTTCAAATTCCGTCAAGTTTACTGCCTACTTTTTACAAACTTCGGATTTAAAAAGTGATTCACGTTATATAATTGGTGAGGTGATTCTGGGTGATTTAAGCAATATCATATCAATGACTTGCACGTGCAAAGCCGATTTAAGAGAACGTTGCAAACACATTATTGCAACTTTGTTGTATTGCAGCAGGTAGGTTCTTAACCTCAAAATACTTATATCGTATCATTAGAATTGTGTTAAATCAATTACACAGGAATAAATAATTTCTCACTTTATAATTTTAGTATGATTCTAGTTTTAAATATTAAGGTTATGGCTGATGGTAAATACTTGCTGAAATATAATCATGTGCATTAAAATGACGTGAACAAATTTTTATTCCGGAATTCACTTCTTTGATACCTACTGCTTTCATCCAAGCTTCTATTAGTTTACTTTTTTCTCTAATTTTCCGAAAATATTTTTTACATATATAAAACGGTTAGTTTTTATTGGAAAGTAGTTAATGTAGGTGAAGAGTGAAGATCTATGTCTGAAGTGCTATTGCAGCTTTTCACTGAACATATCAACTTTTTATTTGATTTAACTTTAGAAGTAAACTTCGTCGACTCCATCATCAAAAAAATTTTTACTTTTTTAACGTGTTTTATTATTTTAATAAACAATTTTACAATTTGCGTGCACAGTTCCTATGTTAATTTTTCCCTCATTCGAGTTATAAATTTTGCCACCAGATGGTGTATGCTCATTTGACGGATCCCAATAGTTGGATTAAAGATATGATGCGGTTATGACCTACCTAATTGCTGTTCAACTTTCATGAGATCCTAACCACAGGTGCTTGCAGAAACTGTCCATCAGGAGAACCATTACTGACAAATCTTATATCCATGGTTAGTGAATGTAGATTAGCATTAAATAAACTAAGAACTGCCTGAATAAACAATATCATTCAAATGATAATTTTACTTAAGGCGGATTTTGCCTTGCCGTTGAGGTAGGAACACCATCTAAATTACTTTATCACTTCCAATATCAACAGGTAGGTATTAGAAGTTAGATTTTATCCGATTACACTTCAATTTACTTCTCAAACGTAGTAGAAGCTTAGGCACCGAATAAAAAATTTTAACTTAAAAAATTATACAGGGTGGTTTGGAAAGTAGCAACATTTAAAGGGACCAAAAAATTTATTAGAAATCCAGAAGAACATACAATCGGAAGCCGGTCCTGGGCGTGAATTGGCAACACATATATTAGGTAGTACAACGAGTTGCTATAACGATTAAGCAACCACATTGATGAAGAATGTAAGCACTGTCGTTTGTAGAATAAACAATTGTCGCATTTCTTTGCAAGGCCGGAATTACATTTGCCTGTATTTTCAACTATGTTTTTCGCGAAAACCGTGAACATTCGGACATACAAACAGTTATTCAATTTTTGTTGTTTTATTGTACTCTATCGCCTCCTGCAAGGTTGCTACTCATTTTAGAAACACCCTGTATAGCTTTATTTTATAATTCAATACTACTTATGTACTCTATTTTGAAGTGAAAATTAAAATAGACAAAAGTTGGTCTTG